CTTCTGGAAAAATCACCCTGCTTAAGGGACTAAACTCAGGTGTGGTTCACTAGGCAAGCAGTGTGCTTCTGCCATCAGCAAGATACAGGGCATGGAAGACAAAATTAAGCTCAAGAATGAGTTGGTAAAAACTGGGAGAATACCTTCATGTCTCAGATCCAATCATGGTTTATGACATGGTTGGTTTTGATCAATTTGATTTGCATGCTGCAGCTTCTATTACAAAATCCAGCACAGGATATAAAATACTTTGTTTGTTCTTAAGATTTCCATTTTCCTTATTTCCTATAAGGTTCAAAAGAATCTTTTGCTTGTGCTATTTTGCTCATACCATACTTGAAAGCAGAAAAATGTGAACTGTTTGTTTATCCTCAGGGCAGGTGCTCTGTAGATTATCACAGTCAAGCTTTGTTGTTCTGCACTACAAAGTCTTCAACCTTGACCTGCGAGGTTGTTTTTCCCCATTTCCCCACCCTCTGAGAAAAGGAAAAATAAAGTGAAGACGGAGAAATCATTCTGTATTCTAAGCTAGTGCTCTGTCTTGCTTTAGCAAAGCCTTTGTTGTACATAAACATGTACAAGTTTTCTATTTACCTGTACCTGGTGTTAGTCAATGAAGCTGGTCTGGGGCTGGAATCTCTGTCTTGGTGTGGGTTCAAAATCAGAAGTGCAGACTCTTGTGGGGAATTCAGCAGTGTTAATTGTATGACTTGGCAATACTCAGGGGAAACCTTCCAGGTGACATGTAAGGAAATAACACACATATATCTTACTTCAATATGAAGGAAACCAGAGTGCTCATCTCCCTGCAGTCTGTTGACAACTCTACCCTTACATTGAATGATGACACACAGGTGGAATTACCTTGTTCCATTAAGGCTCTTTTAGAAAAACATATATAACAACGAAAGTCTGCAAAGGTTTTTTCCTCCCAGACAAATATTGGATAAATCCTAAATTCTGGAGTTATTTCAAAAGAGTAAATCTGTAAAAAATACAAAATGTTTTCTATTTATTGGTGTGTAGGGAAAAGTAATACAGTAAATTACTGCTCTAATCCCAGCCCCCAGTATGATGTGTGACACAAGATAAAAAAGCAGACTGCAGCTCAAAACAGGAGGTGCAAAGGTGACTTTAGAAATCCCCCAATCCCAACCTAATTGCTAGACAGTCCCAAAGCATAAGTTAGAGCAGCTTCCAGCATCAGCATCTAAACATGATTTTTGTTCTAGTGCAAAGCCCATCAGACACCAGACACTAATACCACAGGAGTATTCTCTGGGAAAAGAATTAATAGGTTCCAGAGCCATTTGCTTCATCAGCCTGGAGAAAACCCTATTTAACTCTTTGCATAACTTCAGTATTGATAGTTTTGACCATACCTTCTGAGAATTTACCACAGTGGCTGCTATTCATAATTTAACATAATTTCTACAGTATCTTGCTGAAATATCCTCCTGATAATCCATGAGTGACTCTTTCATTATCTGAGTCTGTGAACATTTCTGCTTTTTTGTTCTTCTGCAGAAATTTAAAGGCTTTAAACAACTATTAATCTCAGGTCTATAGACCTCAAACTATATCTAATAATATTGGAAAAATTTTCTCAGGCCCAGATAGACACAGATTTGAAACTTCTGACCAGACTGGTTAAATGGCTAAAGCATAAATATATCCCAGATGTTACCATGGATGTTTGTCTTGACTAGTCATTAAACTTTGATATGCATAGATACTTGGCATCAAAACACATTTTCTTAAAATTCCTAACAGTGGAAATTTGATAGTTATGAAGCCCTTTTTTCCCTATGAATGCTGAAATGTGTCAATTATCAGCACATAGGGCCACTGGGTTTCCACAGAACATTCACATACGAACAAGGGAAATAATTATTTATCATGAGAGACAGAAATATTTCCCTTATTTCCTGCAGTGACACAAGTGCAGATGGGACAAATGGATTGGATTCTGATCACATGAGGTCACAGCTTGCAGGAATGAATAAATGGGTGTAAAAATTACATAGGGCTAAATGCAGTTAGCAATGGATCTTTTCCTAAAATAAGACTTCTGTTGACCCCTGCATTTTAAAATGAGTCAAAAATAGTTGGAAATCCTATCAGTACAAAATGTAGAAGTTAAATTAATTCATGCTTGTAGGTTCCTTTGATAAAAGGAACTTAGTTATGATAAAAACCCCTAAACCAACCCTGTCTCTATTTATACTTTGGCTGTTCCATCTCCTTCTCCATGAGGACCAATACTCCTGCACCACATAATCAGTGACTGGCAGCTGGGCACCTCTGTGCTCAACAGTCAAACCCATTTGATGTGAATAAAAAAGAAACTGTGTCAAGGCAATCTCCATCAGCTATACCCTGTATCTTAAAACTAGAAGCCCCAAAGTGTGCTACTTTTGAATTCTTGCAGGGCTACAGGCCTCCAAAACAAATCAACCTTGCCAATTGTGAAACACCCTAGAGCATGTATTGGAAATAATCACTGTCTTTTAAAGTGACAGATTAAAATCTCTAGTAACAAAGTTCCTCTTTCCTTAAGCAATCTGTGAGCAATTCCACTCACTCTTGCAGTGAAGGATTTGAGCGCTCTTCTGAATAGGAAGCCCCACCAAACTGCTTCAGACTGATTCTGAACCTGCACCAGCAAAAATAAATATCAGTGTACTGTATCAGAGGTACTTTGGAGCATGTCTAAAATTAGGCTCCAGCAGCAGACCTGTGTATTTTTATGCTAAGGAGTCCTAAGTTTGGCATGCAGAAGAGCTGTGCTGGAGGGGGCCAGGGAAGAGTCCTATTCGGGAACAGGGTCACCTATCTGGGTACAGGGTTACCTATCTGGGTACAGTAACTCAGCCACACAATCCAGTTCCTGCTGGCTATTCTGACTGACTTATGCCTCTGATGTTTGTCTCAATGCTGTCAGTATGCCAAGGAAGCTTTGGGCACACAAAATCAGGAGTGCAAAGGCAAATATCATCTCTCACTAAGCCATTCATGAATGACTGTAGATACCTGTCTCCAAAAAATTTGAAAGCTCTTTGGATAGAACTGCCTCTTTGTGTGGTTATGTGGAGTCCTCTGTGCTGAAGTGAGGGAAGGGTCCTTCTTGGCTGTAAACAGAGCATGAGACCATACTCAGACACTGCTTGAGAGAAGAGTTCCAATTGCCTTTCATACTCTGCAGAAAACACCTTGAAAAATCCTCAGTAGCTGCAGAGGCCACAGGTCCAGCCATGTGTGCACTGTCCTCACCCCAAACAAAAAACATGGCTCATGCCTGTGGCACTGGCCCAGCAACAAACTGCTCAAAGAATGGGAGAACAAATCTGGGGGAAATTATTCTTCAGTACAATTACAGTTGAAAGAAAATATTTCTCAAACTGGGCAAACAGTAACTCACAATCAGGACTTGAAGACACCATGATTAATTCTGTCTTTCTGCGTTTTAAAAGGAAACTGCTCCAGGAAATACAAATGACTTTTTTATTTGTAATGGACTAACTCTGAAACCTAATGATGGCAGTTAAAAAAAAAAAGCTTCATATTTCATTACCTGATAGCACTAGAAAAATATTTAGCCCAATATATCTACCCATAAGCGCCATATAATCTCCCTCCATGTGTGAAATCCATGTGTCACAGACCTCAACTCAGTTCTCTACTGGCTTTGTACATGACATTTTGTCTTTCACAATTAGGCAATTTCAACCCAAAAAAGCAGTTAGACTTGCCATACACTGCTGCAGATGGAAAATGGAGACAATGGAAAAGACATTATAAGATACACTGAATATCACAGTGGAAGAAAAACCATGGTGTGGCCCCTGTTCTGACTACATTATTCATTTTCATATTTAATTCATAAAAAACTTTGTCTAATTTCCACAAGGTTTCCAGTCTCTTGCAATAAAACACAGTCCTGGAATCTTGACATCCTCCTGCAAAATTCTGGTTGAGCTGGGTACTTAAGAGCAAAAATATTAATTTTAAAGAAAAAGCCCAAAGCCCTGATCACACAACAGTTTTAATGCTTAAGCTATTGTAAACAATTCTGGACAACAGATTTCAAGAAGAAAGTGCCTGTCTTGTCTACCAAGATCTTTTGAAATGCACCAGGTTTTGACCAATATGTAAGACTAATGTAAATCAGAAGCAATCTCCTTGAAGTTAATAGAGATCAGATTCCAGGCTTATAAGCTTTTGCACACTGAATTTAACTATCTGTCATGCCTGCGAGGTTACAGCACAGACCTAAAAGAAGGTATGGTGTAAGATCAATGTTAAGGAAAGAGTTTCATTTAAAAGACCATCTTTTCCCATCAGACATGATAGGAGATTTATTATTCCAATATTATTGTTGAAACTAGAAGAGAGAGAAAAAATAAACAGGAACATATATTTTCATTTTATGACTGTGAACAACATTTCATACTGTAAACATATCTTGGTCTATAACATTTACCCACTAAAAAAATAATTTCAATACAGTCCTTATTGCTAGCTCGGCAGAGCCTCTCCAGAACATTGTGTTAATGATTAATATGAAGTCAGTGGAATTCCACAGTTGCTGAGAGTCTTGTGCCCAAGAATGAACTGCATTGCTAAATCAGCAAAGACAGTTGTCAAGGTAACCTCTATGTAATCTATTTAACTGGCTCCCAAAACACCAATCAAGGTCAGATAACGCACTCAAGCACCATATGAACACACTCATACGGCATAAAGCTTTGTATCAAGACAGCAGGGAGGAAAAAACCTCATTAGGAAGCAGGGGGAAAAAAAATTCAGTTTTGAGAAGTGTTAATTGGGATTGCAGTTAGCTTTGTGGGGAAAGCATGCTGCTCATCTGAATATGTTTTATCTGTAGTAGAAGTAATTTCACTCCAGTTCAGTTTGAATGGTAATGTCCTTCTACTAGTGTTAAAAGAAAAAAAAGACAAAAACAACCCACCCAAAAAGTAAAAACAGCCACATATAAATTATTAATTTCATTCATTCTTTTATTAATGCATGTCTGGCATCTACACTCTGATACAGAGTTCTCATTTTGTACTCTCTGCAACAGATTATTGTGTTACTTAACAACAAATAAAATGCCAGCAGCATCTCAGGGTGGGGGATTCAGCTCCCCACACAACACAATTCCACAGGTCCTGCTCCCCTGAGGCCTCTCTCCTCCCATGGAAACTTTCCAGTCAATTCTGCAAAGGAGAAGGATCTATTTGGAGTTACAACCTGATGGTATCCTGAATTTTCAGTTGTATTTACTTGCTGTGAATTCAGATCTCTACAGCCATAACAAGGGCTGGCAAGAGTCACTGGGGTCTGAACTGATTTTTATTCCAACAATTGCTGCGCATACAAATCAACATCTTTTGCTTGATATTTACTGCTTTGTTCAACATTTACTGCTTTGCTCATGCTGGAAGCAAAGGACAGTAAGCATTATGAGAATTAAACAGGTTGTCTGTTTCCCTTGGAGCCTCCATACCCTTGTCTTCTGCTGGGAAGCTGCAGTACACCACACTTCTTACAGCCTCTAGTCCTCAATGAATCCTAACAAATATCCCTGTGCTGCTTACAGTAAAAGTACGTACCAGGGGAGCTATTTCCTTCCTTCAGTTATACCCTGCCAGTACCATGGAGCTGTGCTAATTCAGGACCCTGCTCCTGTTCCACAAAGATGCCAAAAGGTCTTGCTGTGGAAATGAAGAGCTAAAATTAACAGCTCCAAAACTGCAGAAAGCAATCACAGTAAAGACTGTATAACATCTGTGTGTTTAGACAATATTTTTGGCCAAGGCCATTCATACAAAATAAAAATTCTTCTTTAAGCGCAAAATGACCGCATACAACATAAGTGTACATCACACATCTCAGATGTGATCCTGAGAATCCATTAAGCAGCAACTCTGCTAAAGTTCTAGACATGCAGCATTTCTCAGGGTTTCCTCCTTTGTAACAGTGTGTGAGATCCGTTTGCGTGTCTGGGATCAGTGCAGCATCCAAGGGCAATAAAATCATGTACTAGATTAGGAAACAAGGAAGACAACTGCACATTCTAGTCATCCCCAGTGTGGGAGGGTGTGATGGTGCTACAAGCTGCTGCTTATCATGTTGCTGCTGAAGGCAACCATGTAGGCAGGACTCAGAGCCTTCTCAGAAGTACCCCAGGAACGCTCTGGATCCACTAGGCTGGGAATAACAGAGCTGCTAAGCTGCCTCCAACTTCCTTGAGAAGTCAGGCATCAGGAGAGGACAAACTATGTTGCCTGTCACAGTATCTCACCTTACAGATGCAGGGTAGATGTGCACCCACAGGGTGCACCCACACACACCACACATCATGGCTGGGTTCCAACACATGCTCTGAGTTTCCATCTCACGGAAACAAGACTAAAGGCAGGGAAGGACCTAAATGTTTTCTGGATGCGGAGTCAGGATAGATGAAACATGAACAATTTCATATGAGCACCTTAAGAATCCAAATATAATTCACAACATTTTTTGTTAAAATAGCCATCACCATAAAACCTGAACATATTCCCAATACTCAGGAATTCACCACGAGATACAAAAAGCTGTGGGCTCCATTTTGAGATGAAGAAGATAATTAGGATGTGGACTAAGTGACTTGCTCACTGTCAACAGGATGCGGTCACAGGCAGATGTCAAGAAACCCCCAAACCCCAGCCCAGATAAAGCACGGTGGTCTCTGTCTTAAAAAAACCACTTGAGAGCTCTGAGCACCCACAAAAACTGTTGATTTCAGATTTCATCCAGAGGTGAGAGCATTTGGCATTTGTCAGGTGTGTTAGCATAAAAGGAAGGAGCTTGTGTATCTTTTCAAGCTCTAGAGACTGTGGCTGCTTTCAACAAGAAATTAGTAGGTTGTCTCTGGGTTTTGACATGTCAGACACAGAGACAGTGACAGCTAATGAAGCTCAGAGACAATTACAGTGACTCTCCCATGATGAAGAGAAATCCACCCCTGCATTGCTGGGCACCAGTGTAATGGAAGTTGGACTATTCATAGCATATCCCCTTTTGTGCCACTACAAACACTGATCTGCCAATGCAGATAAAGAGGAAAGAGGATGAAAATTGAATGCTCATTCCTTAGACAGACAATGTCAGAGATGCTGTATACAGCCAATCAATGTAAGAGTGTTTCTTGTCCAGGCAAATACATGATAAGCCAAATTTCAAACTGACAGGACTGTAAATATAAATATTTGTTGCCATGCCTAAAGTAACTTGATATTGCAGCTCTCAAAGTGGTTCTGGATTCACAATGACTTCAGTTCTTACATGCCTTTGAAAGTGGATCTAGGTTACTTTTGAGTTAATTTTGTAATATGAATAGAACTCATTTAATTTCAATCAATACTCTGCCACTGTACTTTTTATGTGTGTGTATTCAGGCTATGTATTTTCTTTATTAATCCCAATTAGAATTGTAAACATGGACTGTACCAAAACCACTCTTCTTTGCATCCATAAAATTGCTCTTATATTTCTAGGAAGTTCAATGCAGGCATGGGCAGCAGGTAACAAGACTTGCTCTGTGAGGGTGCAGCACAGCCAGTGTAGGCAACGCTGGCAGGAGATACCACGCACTCCCTACCCAGAGACAGGATAATACAGTTCTTGTGGACAGCCAAATATAAATATGCATATGGAATATAAAGCAGGATGGTTCTACTATCCAGTCACAGAAGTAATTTTAAAAGCCATGAGTAAATGTATATGAAACCATCACACTTACTGCACCATCTCTATTTTGCAAATTGTTACAGTAAAGTCATGGTTACAATCATTTTAGTCAGCACTTCCTTTATGGAAGTAATTTCTGGAGGTCACAGCCTGAAAGAATGTTTATATCTGATGGAAAATATCATGCTTGGAGGTTTCTGAGACTTAAAAAAAAATCCCTGAAAACAACCCTCCCTCCCCAACAATATAATCAAAACCTATATTGAACAACACTATTTGCTGACTTTATTAAACAAAGTTTTTTAAGAAGTTTCTCATTTTTTTCTATTAACTTTGAAATAGTAATTTAAAGACTTAATTCACTTATTCCTAATCCAAACATATACAATGGAAAGCTCTGAAGTAGTTAAAAAAATTTGCAGGTGTGGTTTTTGCACATCTCTCACCCACTCATACACTTCACATGTATTGTCAGAGCTGTGTTTAAAACCCGGGAAATCTGGAGGGGAAGGGATCCCTACAGACCCAGCCCCATGCACGGCATCAGGATCAGCACTCACATCTCCAAAGGAACATGAACTAATCCACACAGTAAGACAGGATTTACAAGACAGACTGTAACAGCTCCTAAGATAGCTGTTACTGCCTCTGTGTTGTTAATGTGTTTGCAAGATTAGTATTAATTACCCAATAAGGGATATATCTGTTTTGAGAGCTTCTAATAAGTCTGTACTTTATATTAAGCAAATCCCATGCAAATGAAATTACATACGACATAAGCAAGAAAGTATTTAATTATTTGTATGTATATTAGGGGTTTATAATAAATAAATCTGTCTTTGCAGGATCTATCATAGGAATATATTTATGTATCTATGAATATCTATAAAAGGATATATTCAATACAGACATTCAAGGTTAAATAGGAAATAGAAAGGTGACATGAACTTATGATTGTCAATGCACTCAATCTTAGATACCTTTGATTGTAGCTGTTTTTTGTATAAAGAATGGTGAGTACCTGTCTGCCCATCCACCCCTCCCTTCCTCCAACTTTATCATTCCTGGCTTAGGATCATGTTCAGAACCTTCTTAAGCATCCTTCTTAATATTAGAATTGCAACATTTTTCTTAGGCAAACAAGAGAGAAAAAACAACTGATAGAAGAATCCAGTGCAAAGGAGAATCATTTCACCGCAGCCCACCAAGCAATCCTGGCTTTTACCAGATGGGCCCCAGCTAGAGACTCTGGCCCCCAGTCAGGCACCCAATAACAAACTGCAGGAAAGACTCTGCTCCTCCTCCCACCCTTCATCCCATTTCCCAGCTCCTCTGCCCAGGGCAGGGCTGTGGGAGCAGGGGATGCCCGGCTTGGGTCCTGGTGCAGGTCCTGGCACTGCCAGCGCTGCCTGGGACTCACCAGCCCCCACAAGGCTCACACTTGTTTATTCCACTTGGATTCTTTGCTCCCTATCAAACCACAACAGCCAGTGATACTAATTCATCTTCATTTTCTCAAGTAAAAAAACCAACATGGCAACTCAGGCAAATGTTTATAAAAAATGTGCTTTTTATCTCTTGATACCTCTGTGACTGAATTTTCCTTCAAGAATAACAGATGGCTTAAGTGTACCAGGTAAAGACTTTGCACGAGTTGGTGACAAAAAGAAGGGTTGTACAGTGGGTTTTTGATAACATAAATCTCCCCCAAACCCACTCTTGTAAACAGTAATAAGAACATGCAGGGCTTTTTAATTGAACATTAAACTCAGAAGTCCCATTACATTCACAGTACAGTATTCAGTTAATACATCCTTTGGGGTTTTTTTTTCCCTTTGTCCCACCCACAGAGATGTTACAAATTGGATTTAAATTAAATTTCATTCTAAACACATATATTCAATCATAACAAAACAGTGACAAATTAGCTTATTCCATTTAAACTCGTTGTATGCTGAGGCTGAGTGCCTCCTGCTCCAACCCAGGGCCTATTTCCCAAAGGTTGGGTATTTAAAGAACTGACGCACAAATGTGTGTGCAGCTATTAGCAGGGGAATTGGTTTGATTATTACATGAAATATCAGGTTGAACTGCAGTGTGTTTTAAAGTGTGAATATGGAAAAGGGTTGTTGCATTTTTGCCTGAGTAAAGGGGTATAAAGGGATGGGTACAGAGATAGGTACAGCTGTTCTAACAATGCCTACATTTACTTTTCCCTCTTTCTTAAATATAATCCGATACAAAAAGAAATCTGACTGGTAACTTCCCTTTTAACACAGTCTGTTGTAAATCCATTGAAACACTGTTCCCCCATTAGCTACCTTTCCTGTATAGGAATAACATATAAAGAGATTTTCTTGTTTGGTTGTGGGTTTTTTCCCATCACAGCTGGGCCCTTGCTAGTTTTAGCATTTAAAGGAAGCCAGAATGGGTCAGGTGTGGAGAGAAAAGAACAAATTTGATACCACTCCTGAGAGAACTTGGA